TACGTACAAGGCACATCCCATAGTGAATTCATCTGGAAGAGTGGGAAGGTCTGTAGGGTGGGGAGTAAAAGAATAGGTTTAAAATACAAAGTCTTCTCAGATGATTTTTGAACAATCTGTTCCATTGTTAAAGGAGCATGAAGCTGCAGAGTGACGTTATCTCTTACGTACTTTCACACCCTACTACTGTCAGCAGACAGGCACTTATTTTTAGACCGATAACATAGCATTAAGCACTATGTTCCATTTCAGGGGAACACAAAGCTATGCCCTGGCTTGTCACCCAGCTGATTGACTGATATCCCTGTGTCTTCATAGTGGTATGACATCCTGAGCCTCCCAGATGGGAAGAAAAGACATCATCTCAGAAAGCATTTTTAAAGCGACCCTTAAACCTAAAAGGTTTAACACGTAGCTCTAAAAGAGTAATTCTACTCATTGCTCACTGTTTTAAGGGGAAGAACATTTTCCTGAACAGAAGCATTAACAGAGGCTCACTCTAGCATTGCTTTTCCAGCTGAGTGATGACATTGAGCTGAGCTGTGTTCTTGCTCTGCTGCAAGCAACCCAGAATGTTCTGAAAAAGCTGTTCTAGTATTGTCAATCCATATCACTGGAGGAACAGGAAACAGGTTTCTCGTATCCCGACTCCCTGAGCTTCAGGCCACAGCTCTATTCCTTAAGCCCAGAGTACCCATTTAAATCTAGATGAGGATTGGCTTGATAGCAGGACCAACAGCAGCTTCTCCTTTCAGAAAGGCCCTTGAGAATATACAGAGGTAAGAGTATGGACGGGATAAACAATCCTGGTACAGCAGATACTGTCATCTTTCTCAGGAGCCCAGAGGCTGCTGTCCCTGTATGACTTGCAGCATAACAGAAGAAAGAGTCTCCATAAAAGAGGGTGAATCCTTCTGCCTGCAGTGGCACTCCACAGACAACCACATTGTTTGCAAGCTGATAGGGTTACCTGTGGGCACACACATTATACTCTATCTGCTTTGTAGAGGAAAACTAGACATGAGGAAGCAGAGATGTCATGCCACATCAGGTATTAAAAGCAACCATGTGGCCCTTTCATTTGAAAAAGTTGCACCACTGTTTTACATACTGCAAGTCTGGTCCCATCTCAGCAGACATTCTTAGTCCAGCTTTCCCTGCTCCTTTCCCCAAAAGACAGTATGCTCGTCTCTGCATGTCTGCTTTTTTCCTAAAGCAGGCTTCCAAACCCATCCCTAAAGCAACGTTCACAGCTAAAAATGGGGCCTCATTGGGGAATCTTTCAAAGCATTTAACAGTACTTTCTGACATGTCTATTGCCAGGAACACAGCCAGCTGCGCAAAAGGGTAATTCCTCTGTGCCTCTGGAATCCAGCCACCACAGAGATTTACTCCAGCTCATCACATGCCCTCAGCAGCCCCATGAGAATCACACAACCTTTGAGCAGGAGTCAGTCTCCCTTATGAGATCACGACCTAAGACCATGGGTTCTTTGGGAAACAACGGACTTTTCATTTTGATTGTGTCATATACAGTGCAAGTGTCAGTCACAGTCTTTGACAGGTGGCCTCTAGGCATGACTGAATTACTTGTAAAAAATTCAACACTTCAGAGCAGGGTGCTAAAATGTCATGAGTATGCCTGCAAAAATATGTTGGCACCTCTCCATCCTTACCTTCAGTGGGGTAAAGAATGAAATACCAGAAGCATATACTGTGCTGAAATTAGCATAAGCTTATCAAAGTGATTTCTGTAAGCAGTCATTATTTATAAGACTGACAGAACACCCTTCTTTGCCACTCCAATGGCACAAACACCTCTTCTGCAAAAGGGATTATGAAAAGGTCCTCTCATCATCACAGAAATATTAACGCAAATATATCTCTGGGGAGAAAGGACTATTACATGCAGGAATAAAGAAATGCATGTAAGGCAGAGCTTTACAGTTTCAATATGAAATAGGACAGGTAAAATTTCAGAAGCTTGCCTGTGTTTTTTGATTCATGGTTGTAGCAGAAATATCAATTTCGTAACCATAATTTAACAGATTGTATTTTTAATTAAGAAAATGTTTCAAAGCAGCAGTTTATTTGACTTTTGCAGTGCAGTAGGTTTTTGTTTCCAATCTGTTTATCTGATTCAATCATTCTGGTATTCCTTTTAGAGACTGTTATGTAAGTAACCTCTCCTCGCCACTGCTCTGCAAACTGATAAGCCTTATGCAGGTGATTTGTGGAGCAACCACTACTTCTCTAAAAGGTCTGAACACTCTGAATTAAAGCTGAGATTGCCAAAAAAGCAAATGGGAGCTGCTGAGAGATACCGAAAAGCAGAATTTCCAAATCAGAAGTGATACAGAGCTATCTAGTTTTGTAACAGCAAATGAAGGATGGGAAACTTTTGCACTTGAGGATCATTCAGAGCTAAAAGCTTTTAAAGAACAATATAGCTAAAGTAAAAACATCACTTGACTGAAATGCCTTAAGATACTGCTCTTACAAGAGGAAAAAAAGATGAAAAATGAAAAAAAACTAAAATAAACAGATGCACTGGGTAATTAATTATTAAATCAGACACTGTTCATCAGCTACAAATGGAAGCCTTTTGCATTATTTAACACAGTAGTTTCAATGCTACTGAGTCTTCTGCTTGACATGTCTTATTTTTACCTGGTTTTCGCACCTCCCTGACCCAGAAAAGGGAGGAAATATGTGGCTTTGCCCTATACAGGCTTCACGCATTTAAAAGCGATTATATACTTATCTTCTGGAAATATAATTTTGTATTGCTGTCTGTGGTTCTTCTATTCCCTTCCCCCAAAGGTCCATACAGACAGGACCAGAGAGGCCCATGACAGCAAAAAAGGTACAACACAATCCAAGCAGAGCTGCAAGCTCATTGAAGAGAGACAGCATCATCATTCTTAAAAACATAATCCAACCAAAAATGTTTTCCTGTGGCATCACCCATGATAGGCTTTATAAAATACCATTTCAGGGCACAGCCTATATCATATTTCTTTTATCTAGCTGCAGATCCTTTTATCTAGCTGCAGAAATCCTCTGTTTTGCTTGGTTAGATCAGAGTATACTTACAGTTAATAAATAATTTCCCAATCTATACCAACTTGATAAAGCTTTCTGCCCACTTACCCTGGAGATGGTCAAGGGCATGTTGAAGTCCTTGCCGCCCTGCAGTCGGAAACCCCATGGTCCAGGTCCATTCAGAGTCACGTTGTAAGCCATTTTGTACCTTCTTCACCAGCCGATGACAAGGCACTGCAGAACAGAAGGATGGGGTAGACAAAGAAAGTGTGAAAAGAAACAGAATGAGAAGAGGAAAAAAGGTTTTCGGCAAGGAAAGTATATTCTCTTCCTGCCTTGCCTGTTCAGTCGTGCTGGGATACCACCTAAGAATAGATGGGATCTATAATGCAGATGCTGATATCCCAGCTGAGTAGGGCCCATAAAAGGTTTGTAACCAGACACCTACTATGCGAAGACTTCATGACTCAGAGGTCTAATATAGCCCCCAGGGAGGGGGACAGACCTTTCTAGGCTTCCCAAGCCCCTCTTCATGCTCAATTACCTTATGAGCAAAATATACTTTTGGGTAAAAAATAATCCTATACATGCAAATCTTATCACTAATCTGTTAACAGCTACAAAGCAACTTATGTTTCCAAATATATACCTATTACATAGTGATACATAATTTACTGCAAACAAGTGCTTTCTATGTAAAACTTTCCATACATTACAACAAGAACAGCAGCAGCGTTTGGGTGTCTTTGCAATGGTCTGTTAAACTGAAGAAAATCTGCACTACATGCAACTACCATCACAGACAGTTCTGGCTCTTTGTTACATAGACTTTACTTTCTCAAGAGAAAGTTGAAATTTATTCTCTGGGAATGCAGTAGAGGTATTAGAGGTTAAATATAAGTTATTTATCAGTAGCACATGATTTCTGTGGCAAAAGCTTCGTTACATCACATACACCATATACACAGATATTATTTTAACACAAGTCTCTTGAAGGCAGGACAGTCGAGCAGAAGACTGAGATGCTAAATAGCTAATAGTTTCCCTGATCTATTCCTGAGGTACTTGATAGGTTCTATTCCATTTATATTTGATGTTCCATAAAACTTCCCAGTCCAAGTTTGGTAGTGCTGAATAGCAGTTTTGCCTTAAACTGGGAATAACTAAAATACAGAGAACAAGGGGGGGAGGGGATGGGGTTGGCAGAGCTATGAATATACACAAACAGCTTCTGCTGTTACGAAAAAGCTATTAATATTTAATTATACTTTCTCCTTTAGAGTCATTAATATGCACAGGACCTCCAAAACCACACTATTCTTTTTTCTAGTCCCCCTGCTTTTACACTCATATGACACAAAATAATTCCTCTTATGTTAAGGTTTTTTTGTTGTTGTTGTTTTTTTAAAAAAAAAAAAAAAAAAAAAAAAAAAACACAGGCATAGGCTCCCCTCCGATTAGCAAGACAACACTCAAAAAAACCACAGAGTCCAGTGGCTCAGTTTGAATATGGACATAAAGCCTTGTCTGCCCACACACCTTACATCTTTTAAGGTACCTGGGAACGTGTCTTAAATGTCATGAGGAAACTGATGGCAAAATCAGTTGGCAGAATGATAGCAGAATCAACTGATGGCAGAAAACAAAAACTAATAGGGTCCCAGCTTCTACCTAAGGAGACCATTAATAAATTTGCAAAATCATGAAACAATAAAAACTTTTGTTTAGTACTTACAGCAACCAAAGAGCCATTTATACACAGAAATCATTTTCTGCATAGACATTAAACTAAAACACTTAACTACATGCTTTTTAAGCACAGGCACAAATGAAACTGCAGCAGCTCACATTAATTCAAATTAAAGTTGTACTCAAACTGTAGAACTGGCCCAAGCCAAAAACAAAGCAAGTGGCAAAACAGAGCTTGAAACAGAAAAGATTGCTACTGTGTCGCAAATACCTCCATGATGCACCTAAATTTAACAGCATTTGTAAACTATCTCTATAGGAGACCATAAACCCTCCTCAGGCCTGCCCAGTTTATCCTGTAGGTCTCTTTCTAAATCTAATATTGGATGTCTTTCTAAAGGTCACCTGCACATACACAAAAGATCAGATGTAAATTCCCACTGCATGATTCCTTTTCTCTTCCTGGAATTCATCGCTGTTTTCCATTACTCTGCCTTGATACTGTTTCAAAGATTCAGGAGCACAGGGGAGAGAGAAAAAAAAAAAAAAAAAAGGCAGCAAGAAAAACAGGGCTAGTTATTTATTTACTAGTAAAGACAATGTGGATAAAAAGAACCAGAAGATAGGATACGTTTTTATGAATTATGAGGTCCATGCGAGTTAACTTCCTATATCTAAAACTGTAATAAGACAGCAAGCTGAACAGAGTGAAGCATTAAGATACAAAAAAGTTTTTTAAAGAGATTATGTGCTTCTGTCTTACTTCCACCTATGCAACATAACATTTTTATATGTGCCCATGATATCTGAAAGGGTGCATGAGCTCGTTCAGACTGAAAGGTGTGCTGTGAAACTACAGTGATAGTCTCATTATGAGTGTTATCATTTGCACGATATGCCAAACTGAGCTTACGTGTTCCTACTCCTTTAATTTCTGTCTGTATCCACATGAAAGTCTGGCGCAGCTTGAAACTTTTTTTTTTTTTTTTTCCAAAGGAGCATAGAGAAGGACAGTATCCTGGCCAATACATCCTTTCAACACAAGATTTCCAAAGACTCACAGCTCTTACATGTGTGCACATTATCACTATCCTAATTTCCATTTTCTAGACCTTTCAAGTTTGCTTCCTCACGCGTATCCCTTCTTCTTTGTCTTCACACTTTCACATCTCCCCGATCATGATTAATCACCCATCTATCTATTACTGACTAGTAATGGAGAATTCTGACCAGCACAAAAGCTCACAGTGCAACGACAGCTCTGTTTGCCACGGGTACTTGGAGCATAGGCCCCATTTGCCTTCTGCAGACTCCTACAACAGGGAGTCTCTCGAGTAGATCAAAGATCCACCCAGAAAACCTGCCATGTTTTCAAAGGCGAGACACACAGGTGCTTTTTAAAAAGCTTGTGCCAGATCCCCCGAGCAATCAGAGAGAAGTGGATTGGTACAGCAGGTAGAGTGCCATCATAACTACCAGGACAAGCCCACCAAAGCTTCCTGGAAAACCCAAGGAAGAAATAAACTGCATGTTTACATGTAATCCTTCTGTTTTCAGAAATGAGCAACATTTAATTTAGGCTTTAGTCGTTTGATGCTTCTTGGCATAATAAAACACTGTTCCAAAAATTTTTTGTTTGTTCATTCAAACAACAGGATTTAATTTCTTTTAGGGTAGCTTCTTCCCTATGTTCTGCAGTTTATTCAAGATTGGTGACATTATTGTAGTTCCCTCCCTTCAGACAGAAGCTATGCTGAGCCAGAAGTGGTTAGGGGCATAATAAGTGATATTTAAAGGGGGGAAAAAAAAAAAATGCCAGCAGGAGGGTGACATTTTCTCTTCAGATATCGAAATGAAGGATTGTCCAGAACTCCGAATGTCCCCCCCTCCAGACATGCCTCTAGCTGACTGATGGGAACAGTTGTGACAAAGCTGGTCAGGTCCCAGGCACAAGGGGCTCCATGCACTGGCAGGCCTCATGAGTCGAGGACAGCTCCTCCCTGCAGTGAGCAGCTCGGTAGCTGCGGCTGAGCTGTGCTTCCACAGCTACGTCACACTCACTACGCTGCAGGAAACAATTCACACGCACTAGGAGACCATCTTGTTGTGTTATAATGAAACAGCTTCAGGAAAGCTACAACTGCATGCTTGGAAGTGCATGTCATTAAATGAATGAAATAAAACCCACTGAGTCAATGCTAAATTGAGACGGACAACACAAGCCCTGGAAATTGCAGTTGTTCCATTTGCCTGACCATGTTACTCCCCAGTGCTACTCCAGCTGCAGTGCTAGCTCTTCAATAAACTTAATATAAATCCCTTAAAAATCTGAAAAATACCACTAGGCTTCTCTGTCTCAGTCTTCCTCACTACTGCTTCTCTGCTACTTCTTGAAGAGCAGCAGTACGGGAAGATAACATTCAGCTTTAGAACAGAAAAGTTTGTTTTGTCACATGAATTCCTAAATTGCACTCTTATCTGCACTCTTTCAGAAAAGCAGGAAGGCAAGCGGGATAGATTGGGAATATCCACATACACACTAAAATGAAGGCAATAAATGCAAGTTTTGAACCAGATGGTTTGAATATGCAGTCCTAGATTATTCCAAATTTTGGGTTAGCTCAAGGCTAATTGTGCTCCACATGGAATACCAGGGGTACAATAGATACATCTGATCTTAGAAGTCAACCACAGGACAAATCAGCAGGTATTTACTATATATGGGCTAATCGGTACTAAAGAACTTCAATCAAAGCCACTAGAGAGGGAAAAGCCTTTTAGCTCAGAACTCATATCTTTGGCAATGTCAAATTGAATGTAGAAATAACTGAGAGCAAAGATTTTTCCCAGCAGAATTTGAATACTGTTTCCACAACAAGACTATTTTACAGGGCAACAGAGCTCAATGTCATCTCCTTTCCTTCCCTGCTGAGTTCTGGACTAAGTTGAGTTACTCCTACTTGTACTTCCTCACACATGTTGTTTCACCCATTTAATTGACACCCTTTCTTTCAGAACTTCATCTTCCTGAATTCTTCTTAGATGCCTCTGTCAAGTTACCTTAAGTCCTGTACTTTTATCTTTCTGAAGGAATTAGGTTTTCTTTCACCTTTGGCATTACCAAGATCTCCATTGTTGATATCTTTCTAGTAATGCAGTTTGAGGGTCCCAAGAGAATATAGGATTCCTGGAGATATACATTAGAGCGATATAATGATGTAATGGGATCTCCTTCCCTCCCGGTGTGATACGATGTCTTCAGAAACACAGCTCAGCTTTCTGCTTGACTTTTTGCTACAGCCAATATCACCTTACAGACTCACACCATTTTTTTTTTCCTTTACTCTGACCTCTAGATCCTTCACCATTGAAGAATATCCACATTGGATTTTTTTTTTCCTGCTAACTGGCATGTTTTTAATGCCTCCTCTTATTACTGTGGGAGGCAGGTATAGTGTAGCTAGCTCACATACTTAAAAGACCCAAAGACTTTGAAAACTATGCTACACCTCAAGACACACCTGTGGAAAGACTGGCTACTGAGAGAAGGAAAAGGAAGTCACACCAGCCCATTAACAAAGGCTTCTTCCACCCTGTATTAACAAAAAGACTTAGGTGTGTGTTACTGAGTTCTCACCTTACTACTGCCTCAGTTATTGTTTTCAGAAGATCTCAACTACAGCATGTAACAC